GCAGTGTCTTATCTCTCATCGTGAAGACTCGGACAAGTAGAATCTGTTCGTGACGATATCATCTGGGCACTTTCGGTTCCCATGATGTCGTGATTTGGGAGAAGTAGTTTTAACCCTTCAACGCCCTTGTGGTAAAAAAACCCATTTTTTGGCGATGTGTACAGATGTTGTTTCGCCAATTGAGTTTACGCGGTTTTGTGTTTTAGAAAAAAGAAAACCCCTCACAGTACGTCATTCAGTACGTTAGTAACAGGACGTCATTCACAGTGGTGGAAATTAAAATCCGATCATGGTGATTTGAACAGCCATGAAACTACTTGTGGCCATTATCAGTCAAACCCAGTCCAGACGTTGATATAAACGGGTTTGTTTTATACAGTTGCGTTTATTTGTCATTCCTGATAAAAATAACATTGATATAACATTGCAGCATATGGTATCCCGATAAGCACGGGTTGAACGTGTCGATACAGGTCATTCATTTCAGAGGAAGGTCACGAAAAGAAATTGAAAAAATGCGAACAAATGACCTATATAAAATGTGGGTAGAATCGCGCTCAATACATTAGAAGGACACCTTGCAAATGTGTACTATTTGAACAAATAAATTGTTGAAAAATTGTCCGAAGTTATTGAAAAAAGAAATCTGTGATCCGGTTCAAAAACACAAAGTCGTGAACTGGACATTCTTGGTGTTCTAAAAACAATGCGTTGTTGGTGAAAAAGAATTGTTTGGATCGTAAACAAATTGTGTTCGAAGCACTGAGCGAACAAATATTTTGTCTCCAACACAAATCAAAGCTCCAACCCAACAGATGATTAAGTGGTGTGTCCCTCAGGAAAATTAAAACGCTGATATTCGACAACGTGAGAAAGGGGTTTTCATGCTTTCGCCAAGGGGTTAATTAACGTTATATCAGCATATAATTCTGAGATCAGAGGTCTATTATGATCAGATCATTTTGGGCCGCTGCCATGAAAACGCTCTTGGTATTGTGAATTTCGAATGGGTCTGAGACATTGTTTGACATCAGATACAAGTTATGTCTGGGAATACGACTGACAACGTTAACTTGTCAGTACTTTGTAAGATTAGAGGGTTCTACGCTGATAAAGGCGAATCTGAAGGATACAAGACTAAAAAATATTATGTCCGATGTAATTCACAATTTTAACTTATACCGTATGTTCTTTTGACTTATTTTTGCATGCGTTAATTATCTGTACTACCGGTAGGACAGGATACGCTCACCATTAAGCGGATACCTGGTTCTATGTGCTCAAATATATAATATTATATGCCTGCGCGCGCTCACTTAGTATATTGTATAGATTTAAATATATTGCATACCGAGATGTTGTTTGTTTGTTGTTTAACGCCGCACTCAGCAATATTCCAGCTATGTGACGGCGGTCTGTAAATAATCGAGTCTGGACCAGACAATCCAATGATTAATATCATGAGCATCGATCCACGCAATTAGGATCGATGACATGCATCAACCAAGTCAGCGAGCCTGACCACCCGTCACGTTAGTCACCTCTTACGACGAGCAAAGATGCCTTTTACGGCAAGGATGGGTTGCTGAAGATCTCCGGAGCTTCACTGTCGCATGCCGAAATTCAACTGGTTCGATGCGCTTATGAACATACTGTTATGTTGTGTGAACCGACGTTCATGAACGCATCACATGTGACCTCACAAATCCATAACTCGAGATGCGCCATTTGTCTCGAGCAGGATTATCGAGCACAGTTTGGAAATCACGATCGTGATAAGAATAAAGACACTGTGGTAACACTTGACTGATTGTTAGTTTCGCCATCAAGTGGAACACATTAGAAACAACTCTACTTAACATACGTCTTCAGCATCCCATTCTTGCCGTAATAGACGACTGTGCTAGTCGTAAGAGGCGAGTAACGGGGCCGGTGGTCAGGCTTCTGGCTTGGTTGATGCATGTCATCGTATCCCAATTGCGTGGATTGATGCTCATGATATCAATCACTGAGTTTTGGCAAGGACGGACAAGTAAATAGGAGTTCTTTATGAAATAAGTTTTGGTTTGAATCGAGAAACATAAATAAAAACGTCTCCCCGACATGTGTGGGCGGCCAAATGTCGGGCATTGTCAATGAAACAAGCTGGCATGATGCCAATATCGATGTATTTCACCTTCAGAAGCAGCAAATAATCCAAGGTAATCCCATCAAAACAGCAGGCATGGACTTACGACGACATAAGATTTCCTGGTTGACACGTAGGTTACACAAAGGACGCATCCGTGTCAATCAGGGCATATCTGATCCGGTTGAGGAAGAGGCAGGCAAGCCTGAAGCGGGTGAGGTACACCTTGGTGTTTGTCAGGGGTGAATGTCCACGTCAGTAAGAATAGTTTCAGAATAGATATTCATACTGAAACAAATATTGATATTATTGATAGTGATATTTTGGGCTCTTAGTGATTTCTGGACCCAAAAAAATCGAATTTCATGTTTTGAAATTCTGTTTGTTGCTGCTAGCCGCACAAAGCAATATTCCAGCTATATGACGGCGGTCTGTAAATAATCGAGTCTGGACCAGACAATCCATGGATTGACATGAGCTTCGATCCACGACATTGGGATACGACGGTATGCATCAAACCAGTCAGCGAGCCTGACCACCCGATCCCGCTAGTCGTCTTTTATGGCAGTCATGGTTTGAAGACCTATTCTACCCCGGATCTTATTACGTTTGAGCTGCAACTTCCAGAACTTCAGATAATTTTTTGAGCAATTGACCTTTTACTCCAAGGTTTTTATTTTAATTGTGTTATTACATTTTTCATTTGGTAACCAATATATTTTAACTCATCTATTCATCACCATTGCTTTTTTTCCAAAATTAGTGAACATTTTAAGGTTTCAAAATAAGATAAAATAATGTTTTAGATGTATATAAAGGTTCAAACTTTAGACTCGACTTGGAAAGTAAATTAGCCCGTAATTGTACGCATGCTGAAAAAGCTTCATTGTACATTTGAGTTTTTCATTTAATGCATGCGTTTCTGTACTTTTAATGAATGTAATTGGGTTTTGAATGTGTTTTCTTTTCTTTTTTTTTTTGGGGGGGGGGGGGGGGGGGGGGGGTATTCTACGCAAATACGCAGCTTATCTGTAGCTCTAACTTCTGGCAAAAGTAAAAGAAGTTGTGCAATTCAAGAATGTAATCTTTTCAAAACAATCCCAGGCATAAATAAGGCAAGGAAAATGTCGAATTGCTGGCAACATTGTAAAAAGAAAAGAAAGGACATAGGGATACTTTACAGTTCTCAACCTGTAACCTGTGAAGGTGGTCGGTGTTCAAATACAGCGACTTTCAGTATAAAAAACAACAAAAAAAACAGTGGACATGATTGCCAGGTTCGGTACGTGCATTCTGCATCTGGGAGACAATGGTTGGCCATGGCCACACTTGCAGCGTCTTAGAGGAGCAAGACCGACCGTGCTGCAATACCTTTAGTTACCCAGCGACCGTTAAGTATACGGTGTACGCGAGTGCTTGCAAAGGATCGCCGAAACGTGGGCTTCTCTCAAAAGCCGGGACCAAACTATTCGTCTGTAGAGTGAGAAGAACAGGCATTATCCTGTACACTATTTCCATTATATTATAATACACACCGGAGACCTTCGACACGACTCTGGGCAATATTCCTGTAAATGACCGAGGCATGTAAATAATCCCGTCTTGACCAGACAATCAGTGATTTTATTATGAGCAATGATTCCCGTCGAACATCAGCATCTTTCCTAATATAGTTGATCTCGTATAAAATAATCGTATGTTCTGTAACTGCGTTTTAGTATATTAATCAAGTCTCCAAGCGTGACTACCGTATCAGATTCCGGAGTAGGATATATAGGTCTTTAGCAACCCATGCTTGCCGTGAAAGGCGACTATGCTTGTTGAAAGAGGCGACTAAAGGCATCGGGTGGTCAGGCTCGCCGACTTGGTTGATGCATGTCATCGGATCCCAGTTGCGTGGATCGAGGCTCATGATATTAATCACTGGATTGTCTGGTCCAGACTCGATTATTTAGAGTCTTAAACTCCTCTAATGCGTTTCCCTACCTCAACAACCACACATACACGCACAACTGAAATGCTGTTCAACTCGAGATCTCAGGGAGGGCAGATGTGAAATGGGCTATAAGGTTGCCTTAAAGGTCACTGCACTTTCAAAGCCGGTTTTACAGTGCTAGCTCGACCCGTGAAGATCCGGGTTCAAACAGATCTTCAGAAACCCATAGCTGCCGTAACAGGCGACCATGCTTGTCCTGAAAGGCGACTAACGGGAGGGTGGTCAGGCTTGCTGACTTGGTTGATGCATGTCATCGTATCCCAATTGTGTAGATCGATGATATCACTGTATTGTCTGGTCCCGACACGATTATTTACCGACCGCCGTCATATAGCTGGAATATTGCTGATTGCGGCGTTACACAGCAAACTAAAAGACTACCGTATCCTTTCAAGTTTGTTTGTCGTTAATCTGCACACACGGCAATATTCTTGCGGTCCATTAAAGTGCCACTGCAACTAGCAAGGTGTGAAATCCCATGTAAAGGTTATCCTATTACTGATCCATGTGACCGCCGTCTTATAGCTGGATTATTGCCGAGTGCGGCGTTAAACAAACTGATCCAAGTGACCCGTGAAGATCCGGGGTAAAATGAGAATAGGCAACCAATGCTTGCCGGAAAAGGCGACTAACGGGATCGGGTGGTTAGGCTCGCTGACTTGGTTTGTGCATGTCATCGTATCCCAATTGCGTGGATCGATGCTCATATCAATCACTGGATTGTCTGGTCCAGAATCGATTATTTATAGACCTCCGTCATACAGCTGGAATATTGCCGAGTGCGGCGTTAAACAAAAAGACTATAACTGGTCTAAGCAAAGGATGAATAAGCTTGGGATCTTGCGAGATTGAGTAGGAAGTAAGAACGAACAGTAATGAGTTTGCCAGGGTTTTAATTCAGATGGTGCTACGCCTTGACATTGTCTCTCGCTCTGACACGGAATGGGCCCACACAGGCTGCAAGGGATATTGCAAATGACGTCACGACGAGTAATCCAAGGCCTAGTATCGCGGACCAGTAGATGGCACCATCTCTGATGCGACCATCCTCGACCATGAGCTGTATGACGTCACTTTCAGTCATGTGGTTCACTGGTTCCTGCTTGGCGAGGTTGAGGAGTTCCGATTCCACAAACATGTTGCCACCAGCCAGCATATCTGGAACTGCAAGTTATTTTAATAAGAGCTGCTCAAAACACCTAAAACACGATTTTTTCATATCACTTAAGGACCCGTGAATACCCGGGTTAGATCTTCGGAAACCCATGCTTGTCGTAAAAGACGACTAACGGGATCGGGTGGTCAGACTCGTTGACTTGGTTGATGCATGTCATTGTATCCCAATTGCGTGGATCGATGCTGATGGTGTCAATCACCCGATTGTCGAACAGGCCGTCACATTGCTGGAATATTGCTGAATGCGGCGTTATACAACAAACAAATGAGATTTTACTATAATTTGATTAACTATAGTAGCATGAAAGAATCGAGCGTTTTTTAAACTACTTTTGAGTGGAACATGTTTATATGAATTATGTGATAAGTTGGTTGCTAGAGGAGGTATTCTGTTTTTGAAGTGGCTGTACGAGGTAACGTCCAACTGCAAGGTGTTGGTAATTTTACCATTCCTTTCAAGACGTTACAACTGAGGATCATTACGACTGCTAGTCGTGCGACGTAAGGACCGATATAAATTTAGATATTTTTAGAAGCCATGTTCTTAAGTTGGTGGACCAATGTGAATGTAGGCCAAACCAACCGATACATACCTTGCTCAGGTTCTGACCGACGTCTTCTCTCGGATTTGCAAGAGTCCTGGAAAATAATTTCACATTTCACAACTAATGTTTTACGAGTAAAAGAAAGGTTATAAATATGCATAAATTGTGAAAATGTATGCGTCAAAGACTTAGTTTCTAGTATTCAGTTATGGAGCATCGAGCGAGTATTGTTTTATGCCGCTTTTAGCAATATCCAAGCAATATCACGGCAAGGGAACGCCAGCTATGCCACACACATTCAGTGAGAATATAGGAGATAAACATACTGTGTTTTCCATGTAGAGCTAGGTTACCTGTAGATTTAACCCCGCTAAATTGAATTTGGAACCGAACGCGCAGCGTGAGGTTTCAAATGTTAAATTTAGCGGGGTTAAATCTACAGGTAACCTAGCTCTACATTGAAAACACAGTATGTTTATCTCCATTCTACCATGACTAAATAAAATGCGAACTCTTTGGTGTTAGCAAATATACTGAGTGAAGCGGCATGGGTTGAGTTCAGTGTTTTGAGTGAGTTATCGATCTGAATTACGGAACCACCGAAAAAAAAAATATGGTGCTGTATATCCTCAAGCAGTTTGTTTATACCGTAATACTTCAATCGAACATATGACAGGCATTGGAAGCATATAAGCACGGCAACTTGGTAAGCAAACATGAGGTGGGCATCCGTAAAGAAAACAAAGCAAGCTTAGCAAGGCTTTCGCTCTACATCGCACGTCACCATTATGACGTCATGCCGCTCATTGTGACGCAAAAGATATGACGTCACAGTCATATATAGAAAAGCGCCAAAAGTCCAAGCTCTGTTGTCTCCAAAACGTAAATACATTCCCTTTGTTCTGTCGTGTTTTTCTGCACAAAATGTATTGCCACACATCCTTTGTATATTGTATTAACCGCATCTGTGCATTTTGTAACCTGTAATTGCAGATATAATTATTTAAATACGCCTACCGACAATGACTGAAAATAGTACCATTCTACGAATATTAGCTTCCGCGGTGAAGCGGCCGTCAAACCAGCTGTTTCAACCAGAGGGGGTTTATTGTGATTTAATAGCCTCTGATTGACCAATCAGAATCGAGTAAATTCCAAATTCATGGTAGAATTAACATTTAACGTCTCATCGGCATTATTTCAGACATATGGAGACTCGTACATTGTACCCATGTGGGGGGAATCGAAACCGGGTCTCCGGCGTGACGAACAAACGCTCTAACCACTGTGCTACGCCACTGCCCCATTTAGAGCATTGATATAGGGAGACGTTGGTCAACTCCAGCCAACAATAGTCAAGTTAAATCAGCTGATTCAGAAACCATTGAGGGAAGGAAAAAAACAAATGGCGATTGTGTGACGTCATTAACATAACTTGGTTGAAAGTTCTGTCGAATCAGTCAACATGTAACTGAGCAAATCACTGGATTGTGTAATCGGGCGGTCAAAACGTACCAGTCATGTTAGACGAAATATTTGTACACACGTGCCTGTCAAGAAACGAAATACTTACTCCATCACATTTGTTCGTGCATAAAGTAAAGTTGCATTGAAAATTCAAAGCTGTATCGTTCTCTATGCCGAAAGTCTCGAAGAATGGGCTCCGGGTAACAAGGCCGTCAGTGATGAAACCAGCATCCTTCGCAAAGACAATACCGTCCCCGCATCTGTAGGTTAAATTAATTTTCAAAAGGTAAACGTCGAGGAAATCGTACATTTTGTTTTAAGCTTTTCGTCGAACTGACGAGATCCGTACATATTCATGACGTTTTGCAGCTATTAAAGACATTCATGTCATAAAATTGCAAATAAACACCTACAAATTATTGAAGCACCTCCTGATGTTGCGACCATATCTGTCCAACAAGGTATCTGTCGCGTCTAACCTGAGCTATGGTGAAGTGCGCGTGTTTGGTGTTTTGCGCCGCTTTTAGCAATATTCCAGCAAAATCACGGCGGGGGATACCAAAAATAGGAATCGAACCCGGGTCTTCGGCGTGACGAGCGAACGCTTTAAACACTGGGGTACCCAACCGTCCCAGCTATGGTGGAGAAATTAATGTCTTGTGTAAGATGAGACTCTTGACATATACAGAGAATGATGTGTATCATTGTCATGTGTGGACCTGGACGGTCCTCTACCTCACTTGTCTGTCCTTTTCGTACGAGTAAGCTGACACTAGGGACAAGTTGACGTCCAATGGCTCTATGTCATACCCGTGTCAAGCATGCCAATAACTTGGTAACGAATGCTTCTGACAGCCTCCTGTGTGTCATGGTTATATATGCGGACTAAACAAAAGAATATTTGCCAGTTTTATACCCTTTCTTGCATCAGTATAAAAGTGCTCCTGAGGTGAGGTGAGGTGAGTTGAGGTGAGGTGAGGTGAGGTGAGATTAGGTTTAACGTCGCGTCCAAGATTATTGCACTTATATAGCGACGTGCATGCACGTGTGTGTGTGTGTGGCTGCTTGTACTAGTCCGGACTGATGCCGATTTATAGTGCTAACCCACTGAGATACCATGCCGCAGTTTAACATGAATACCCCACTCAGACACAGTATACTGACTCCGAGCCGACCAGTCCTTGTTTTAGCCCCTTAATGGCGAGAGCCAGACAGGGTAACAACAAGTACCATCTTTTAACGTCTTTTGGTATGACGAGGCCGGGGATCGAAACCCGGACCTTCCTCTCCGGGCGGACGCTCTACCACTAGACCGCGGAGGCGGTCAAAAGTACCCTGAAACTCGAGGGTACGATTCTCTCAGTCCGGATGTCTGTTTGGGCGACACTGTCAGTTATTGTTATGACCATACTCGAGTTTGACAGCCATTCCATGAATGAGTATCATAAACCTAGCATTTTCATACATGGTTATATCACTGTTGCGCCAGGGCGTGCTTAATTTCTAGCTGTATATGAAGTACAGATTCGATGCCTTGGTCATGACGTACCCTGCTCGGATGACTGCGTACCGCCTGCCCGAGGAGTGACCAATGGCGTCACATTCCACCGGCTTCACGCCCTTCTCTCCGCTAGAACCTGTAAACATGCATGGGCAGAGAGATGTCATGGCAAGCTGTGTCGATCCGGGTTAGAATGCTTGTCGATAGAGACGTCGAACGGAATCGGGTGGTCCCGCTCGCTGACTTGGTTGATGCATGTCATCGTATCCCAGTTGCGTGGATTGATGTCAATCCCTGGATCGTCTGGTTCAGACTCCATTATTTACAGACCGCCCTGACAGATTGTAGTTATTTCGGGAAAGAAATAGGTTCCAAATATAATGTCGTAAAAATGCGGCCTTTATTTAAAACACATGGGCTGCATTGATATAAGTTTAGAATGAGATACGAGACAAGATTGCGAGAAGACATGTTTCTATAAAACACGTTAACATCTAAAGTGATATTTATAATATGATTTTGAAATAGATGGGTGTTTTTTAGACCAATGGGAAGAAAGTAAAATTAAACTTGTGAAAGAAAAGGTGATCCGTCCTCGTAAACGTATGGAACGATATTTTTTATTTGAAAAACGTTACGTTATTACAGGCAGCTTGTGAAAAAATATAATCGCCTCGTCGCATTTTAGACCAAACCAATATTATGATACAGCATTGATTCCACATTGATACAGCATTGAATGAGTGAATATGGTTTTACGCCGCTTTTAGTAATATTCCAGCAATATCACGGCGGGGGGATACCATAAATGGGCTTCTCACATTGTACCCATGTGGGGAAACGAACCAAGGTCTTCGGCATGACGAACGAACACTTTAACCACTTGCCCCTTGATAAGTTTCCATGAAATCAAAAAGGAATGAGAAATGTTGCATCTCGCTTTTAAAATCAAAAGTGATTTGAAAGTCTGTCAACACTTTGTAAAGGGATATAAATAAAAAGACTCACCGCTGGCCGTGCCCTTGAGCTGCACCTTCCTGCTCCGCCACACCTTCCGCCCTAGCATGTCCTTGCCTAGGACATCGGTCAGCTGCAGTGTCAGCTTGGACGTAGCCGCTGGACCGTGGTAGTTGGACAGTGCCGACGGCGCAATCAACCTGCCAGATTAAAATAGCTCCTAGAAATGTTCCCGGGGATGACCGTCGTGTAAAGGATCAAGTATGGTGAAATTAGCCGCCCTGTACAGATCCGGGTTAGAATTGGTCTTCAGAAACCATTGACTGTTATGAGAGGCGACTAACGGGATCGGGTGGTCATGATGTTAATGACTGGACTGTCCGGTTCAGACTCGATTATTTACATACCCCCGTCATATAGCTGGAATATTGCATTTTGACATGAATTACCCCCCCACCCCCACCCCCACCCCCACAAAGACAGTCCTTTTATCCTCTTAATGCCGAGCAGAGAAGGGAAACAGCAAATACCTTCTTTAACGTCTTTTGGCATGACGCGGTCGGAGATCGACTTCTCGCTTTCCGGACAGACGCTCTATCCATAAGATCACGGAGGCGGTCATGCGGTTAAGTGGGTCCTGTGGTTCCCAACGGTTTAGAGGAATATTCATCTTCTCCCAGTTATGTGGGGAACGGAAGACCCCAATGCTAGACATTCACTTTGACTGGTGTGTTAGTGTGGGTGCGGTGCGGTGGGGGTGTTTTGGGTGGTGTGTACATGCGTGACTTACCCAGCCGTGATGAGACTGCCTCGAGTCTGGTTGCTGTTCTTGGAGTCGAATGTACAAGAAATCGTTCGTTCCTCCTCCGCTTGGTATACAAGGCTACCTTCCTCGCCATATGCCACTTTGACTTTTATGACGTACACACGAACTTTGTCGCGTTTCTGCGAGGTAAGAAAAATAGTCATTTCGAACAGAAAATGTTTCCCGATATTGCCAATATTTAGGTGTTTAATATACCTGCCACAATGCTGTTGCAAAACGCCAGTTAAGGGACCGTAAACATGATCATTTTGTATGAAACTGAACGGAATGGCCGAACGGATAAACTCAATTGTACTTTTAATAATTTGAAAGAGGTGTCCCCATTCAAAACCGACAATCATTGGGTAGGGAGGGGAGGGCATGCGTTCTCAGTTTAGTATATATCTTTATAATGTATTAGAAAACGGGTCAAACATTGTCTATACATTTTATCAATACCATTCCATAGGTGATAGGAGGGGGGACTGAACATTGTTCTCTTCGGTCTAACATTTCATACATTGGGTCTTCGTGGACGACACTTGATACGGACCTAGCGACAGCGGTGTATCATATACTTACATTGAACTGGCATTTGCCAGCGCCCCCCTTGCCGTACGTCACTTTAAGTAGGGCTGTGGCCTTGTCGATACGTTCGAAGGGCACCTTGGCTGCGCCGGCACATATTGCCGTTCCCTTGAAGTCGAGGTCGGCGACGATTTTGATTATGGCTTCGTCACTTTCGCTACTGCCACACTGGGAAGTTACTGACATCAGAAAGATGGACAATTTGGACAAAACCACAAAACAATATTCACAAATTATGAGAAGTTCCACCAAAAAATATTACCGTTTTCAGGAAGTTGTAATATTTAATTGGTCTTCAGCAACCAATGATTGTCACAAAAGCCGACTATGCTTGTCGTTGGCTGATGCATGCCATCGTATCCCATTTGCGTAGATCGATCCTCATGTCAATCACTGCATCGCCTGGACCAGACTCGATTATTAACAGACCACCGTCATACAGATTGAAGATTGCAGAGTACGGCGTTAAACAACCAATAAAACAAAAGAAATCCTTGCACAAGACGAGTAGATTATCTGTAACTGTAAGATTTGAGGAAGCATACCTTTCAATACATAGCCTTTTGGGAATGCGGCAAGGGACTTGCCCTGAAATAGATATTGAAATGGTAACATTACTTGACGAGAAACTGGACCATCGATTAATACAAGGCGATGTAAAGAATGTGTTTTTCGCAAAGTCTATTTCACACCAAAGTAATTTTACCCCTCCATGTAAAGAAAACAATGCACGCAGACGTTTATACTCCATACTACGTGAGCAATTTGATTTTTCGGGTAGGGGTGGGGGTAGAGAGATTTGTATTTGAAATCAGTTTTTTTTAATGTTCAGGAGCTTTATTCCTACCCACCCCCCCCCCCCCCCCCCACCCCCACACACACACACACACACCCCACCCCACCTACCCCCAAGATATTCAGGCACCAAGTTTTGTCCTACAACTGGAAATGTATGTAACACAGGTTTTTTATTGATATGTCACTTTAAAATGCACCCCATTTCTGAGTACAGATCCCTTGCACACGTGAAAGGGAGTGAGTGTGTGTGTGTGGGGGTGTGTGTGGGGGGGTCTTATCAAGGTGCCTTCGATATAAGCGACAGAATAGGCGGGCATTTGAGGAAGTGCTTTCCACAATCCCAATCAATCTACAGTGGTTTGCTGGAGGAATAGTTAGGCGCGACAACTAAATGTCTATTGTCAAATCAACTTTAACCGCCTGGACACGGCTTCACGATATCGTTTTAGGTAGCATATGACTGTCCAAGGTCTCCGTGCGCAGCTTTCAGATGAAGGAGAAGACACTCACCACCACGATCGCAGCTAGGAGGGTGCAGATCAAAGACATCTGAAAGAAACAATCGGTTCAAAAAATAAATCCGCCCACTTACAAATAATCTCCCCAAACAGTCATTTTCAAGTCGGCGCGACGACCACTCACCTTAACCAGGTACCAGCAAACAGGCGATTGCGCCCCACTGTACGCCTCGTGAAAGTCTCGGGATGAAGATGCACGTGCGCCTCGTGCACTGCGTGCTGGGAGATCGACCGTGTGTTCACGATGTTTGTGCTGAAAGCGTCTGTCTGGAGAGCGGGAGGTTGGTGGTTCGATTCCCTGGCCGCGTCATACCAAAAAGTGAGTGAGTGAGTGAGTATGGTTTTACGCCGCTTTTAGCAATATTCCAGCAATATCACGGCGGGGGACACCAGAAATGGGCTTCACACATTGTACCCATGTCGGGAATCGAACCCGGGTCTTCGGCGTGACGAGCGAACGCTTTAACCACTAGGCTACCCGACCGCCCCTCATACCAAAAAGCATTAAACGATGGTACTTGTTGTCACGTGGTTGACCCTCGACATTAAGGGGCTTAACCAAGGACTGGAGGAGTCGGAGTCAGTATACTGTGTATGAGTTGGTTGTCTGTGTTAAACTGCGGCTTGCACTGTTGTTTATTCGTTGTTTAACGCCGCACTCAGCAATATTCCAGCTATATGACGGCGGTCTGTAATTAATCGAGTCGGGACCAGACAATATAGTGATTGATATCATCGATCTACACAATTGGGATACGATGACATGCATCAACCAAGTCAGCAAGCCTGACCACCCTCCCGTTAGTCGCCTCTTAGGACAAGCATGGTCGCCTTTTACGGCAAGTATGGGTTTCTGAAGATCTGTTTGAACCCGGATCTTCACGGGTCGAGCTAGCACTGTGAAACCAGCTTTGAAAGTGACGTGACCTTTAAGGCGACCTTATAGCCCATTTCACATCTGCCCTCCCTGAGATCTCGAGTTGAACAGCATTTCAGTTGTGCGTGTATGTGTGGTTGTTGAGGTAGGGAAACGCAATAGAGGCTTTAAGACTTGCACGCTATCCACGACTGAGGGTAGGGTCCCGGCGTGTAAATGTTTGATTTCAAATTTGAATGTGAGACGAGGTGTATAAAATATTTGAAATGCATTGCAGGTCTTATGTTGGAGTTTAGTTACAGTGAGTGAGTGAATGAGTTGGGTTTAGCGCCGCTTATAACAGTATTCCAGTTATATCACGGCGTGTCAGCTTAATGTGGGAGGAAAGCCCGAAGTGATGCAGGTCTCAGACGTTTACCACTTCGGTGAAACCCACGAGCACGGGTATGGTGCTGACAAACCTAGAAACATAATTGGGGCGAACCGGGATTCGAAGCCACAATCATAGGTTTCTGGCGTGCCCAAGCGACGCAACTCTGCACAGCGAATCGCCCCCAGTGCCCCCAGTTTAGTTAGTGTAACAGAAGACTAACCTACATTTTTCAAATGTCGTTAGCCATTATTCAGAATATTCTTAAAGATCTGCTGATGCTACAGATCACAACTCAACCTCGACTGTTGTGTTAGTGTGTCTCCGTACGCGGGCCGTGACGTGATGCTAATACTGTCACTCGTGTCTGAGGTGTGGTTGTGCGTTGTTGTACGATGTTGGGGCTACGTGCACTAAGATAGATTTGTGAAGTTGGGTGTTGACAATACGGCGCTTTATCAACTGGGCAACCCAACCACCCCTCAGTGAGTGAGCTTGGTTTAATACCGCTTTTAACAATATTCCAGTTATAGTGTCAGCGTGTCAGCTTGATGTGGAATCAAAGCCCGAAGTGATACAGGTCTTAGACGTTTACGACTTTTGGGAAACCCACGTGCACGGGTATGGTGCTGCCAAACCTAGGAACATTATGTGCACGAATCGGGATTCGAACCCACAATCATAGGTTGCTTGCGTCCCCTAGGGACGCAACAGCGAATTGCCGCGCCTTAGATGAGTGGGCCACCCGTGCCCACAACCACCCCTGAAACGTTAATGCGGATCCTGGTGACGTCATGAAGATGACCTCAACAGTATTGACCGAGTTCAATGCCATGTGTCGTAAAGGAAGCGCACTCTCTTACTCGTTGAAAAAATAAATGTTTTTGTAGAGCGATCGGTTTGAGTTGAAATATTGGGAATCGATACAGCCTGACATCACCGCCATTCTTAGCAGAAGACTTTATAACTGACGTTTGATCTAGACGGGTCATTGTGAATCTGAACTATCGACTCGTAATAAAATCAGACTGTCTTTGCAGTCAGTACATCTTTGATTTTTTTTATCGGCATTTTCTTATAACCATATACCGTGTTTAAATTGAATTTCGATATCATTGCGAAATTCATATCTCCTTCGTCACCGTGACAGTCAATGGACGTATTTGGAGCCTTGTAAAATCCTTCTGCTTAATTAATCATCAAACATCAACGGTAGTATAAGGAGACATGTACTTGTATTAAATATTATTTCTATCCCATTGTGTTCTCAGCTTAACGTTTGCTGTGGGCCCTGTTTCACAAAGCGGGTTTAGTGCTACGAGTACCGTAACTCAGTCTTTAACGTGGATAGTCATAGCGCAAATGGGCTCTGGGTCCGTCCCACAATCGATCTTAGCGCAAAGACGATCTTAATTCCCATACACTTAGGAGATAAACATACTGTGTTTTCAATGTAGAGCTAGGTTACCTGTAGATTTAACCCTGCTAAATTGAATTTGGAACCGAACGCGCAGGGATGATTTGCCAAGCAATGAACGGTTAACTGCTCAGTTGTGTTATAGCACTCATGTTAAGTATATACTAGTTAATAATTGCCAGGAACACCGCCTTTGACTAAATACTACTTTTGCCCTTAGCAAATATTGAGTAGTATATGATCCAAGGTTGCAATTTATGCAATTATTCTTTTAAAAACCCGTTTGGGTCATTAATAATTTTGCGGATATGTTTGTGAAATTATGTACTCAGTCTTTACTAAAAAAAAAAAACGTCCCCCAAAATATTCATAGTCTAACCTTTTTGGTCAGTATATTTCGGGTACCACCCTGATCTGTTCTTGATGAACACTGGTTTACTCAGGTTGAATATAGTCAACCCTGGTTGCCAGAAATGTGAAAACATCGGTTGCTGCATGTCACGTAAATGTTGATAATCGAACGCACGTAGTCTGTCATCATACCTTGTCGGCTAGGGTCGTTCTCTGCCTTGTGTTATACCAAGAATCAATTATGTCAAGCCGACCCGTTACATTACGTCAGTGTAAAACATTATTCACCGATTCATGTCTTTCTCCAAGAACCAAGAGAATAAATAAAAGAAAGGGAGTCCAACTCAAGTGTAGAATTATTGGGCAAGCGCAGATCGCCTCAACTCTCAGAAGTTAAGCATTATTCTGGGCTACTTTTGGATTTATTTTATTTTGATATATATTTTCAAATAAGATAAGTTTATTACTGTGACTAAATGTCAGTCTGCGGTTCATGAAATTTCTCGAAATATATTTGATTTACAGTCACCAATGGTTCAGCTACTTTACGGTGACCTGTAAATGGGCAAGACACCACAGCAATAATTGATGACATCTTGTCGGCGACCGTTGTTGTGGGATGCTAAGACAAGACCAAGCATGACCACCCGATCCCCATTTTAGCCGCCTTTCACAAGAAGCACGACATTGTTGTTGAAATCCGCACTCAGTAATATTCCACCTATATGACGGTGGTCTGTAAATAGGGTCTAGACAATCCAGTCATTGACATCATAAGCATCGATCTTCGCCATTGAGATACGATGACATGCATCAACCAAGTCAGCGAGCGTGACCACCCGATCCCGTCAGTCGCCTCTTACAAGCATAGTCGATTTTAATATATTTATTTTAGAGTCTGGAAGTCTGTCGTTTGCTTTTAAACTCCCCAATGTTTGTTTGTTGTTTAACGCCTCACTCAGCAATATTCCAGCTATATGACGGCGGTCTGTAAAATAATTGAGTCTGGACCAGACGATCCAGTGATTGACATCATGAGCATCGATCCACGCAATTGGAATCGATGACATACATCAACCAAGTCAGTGAGCCTGACCACCCGATCCCGTTAGTCACCTCTTACGACAGGCACAGTCGCCTTTTACGGCAAGCATGGGTTGCTGAAGACCTATTCTATCTCGGATCTTCACGGAAAGCTCTGTAAAAATTATTTTCTCGATTGAGGCACTGAAAGGGGCCACTCCACTTGTGGACAATGAACAAACTGAGATAGGGCAAGTGCAGGTTTTATTTGCGGACTGAGCTGATGTTACACATGTTGCACAAACCAACACAGCAATGTCATCAACGTGAGAAAGGCCAGCACAACAAATATGACAATAGCAATACTTGTGTATGTGAGTATACTCGTAAATGCCCTATGGTCTTGTTTTTCCACTCCGTCATTGTTTGTGTGCTTTTTAACTCCTACCAATATTTCTGACATTGTTCTCAGTTTGGGTTCAATGGAGTTGGGGCTTGGCTCCATGGCTTTGATGTTGACATCCACAAAGGCTTTTTTGGTTGCACTTGGCTGGACTTTGTCAGAATCCTCGAAGGAAGCACTTCTTGATGGAGGGACGGGTCGAACCTTTCCTTGTACACCCTGTGGGACGGCGGCTAGTAAGATATGATTCAAAAGCATGGTCATTGGGTGTTGTATTTGTATACTTGAAAGCGTAGACTTTTTGGGAGCAGTGATCTCGCGTGCAGAACCATCCGACTTAAGATACACTGCAATTCTAGCCCCGACTTTGCCGTACACGGTAAACGGTGGTGTGTTCTGGGCGGTGTCTTCCTCTGGTTCTTTCGTATGGATAGTACTTTGCCAGTCATCTTCTGATTGCCTGATGGCATTATTTGGTTGCTCTTCGCCGTCATACATTTGGTCCTCGGGATCGTCATACATTTGGTCCTTGGGATCGTCATACATTTGGTCCTCGGGATCGTCATACATTTGGTCCTCGGGATCGTCATACATTTGGTCATCAGGATTGACGTCATACCGATTGTCTTCGGTATCATCTGTTATGTCATACCGTTGGTCTTTGGGTTCGACGTTGATTTTTGACGTGTCACCGACGACAAGTGTCTTATCGAGAGAGGCTGAACTTCGGTCTTTGGGATTTACATCGTGCCATTGGTCCTTTGGTTGAACGTTGATATAAAACGAGTCACCGGCGACAAGTGTCTCATCAAGGGAGGTTGAACTTCCGTCCTTGGGACTAGCATACTTTTGGTCATTGGGATCTACGTCCTGCCTTTGGTCCTTGATTCTGACGTCATATCTTTGGTCCTTGGATTCCACGTTGATATATTGGGTGTCACCGGCGACAAGTGTCACGTCAAGGGAGGTTGAACTTCCGTCCTTGGGACTAGCATACTTTTGGTCATTGGGATCTACGTCCTGCCTTTGGTCCTTGAGTCTGACGTCATATCTTTGGTCCTTGGTTTCCACGTTGATATATTGGGTGTCACCGTCGACAAGTGTCTCGTCAAGGGAAGTTGAACTTCCGTCCTTGGGACTAGCATACTTTTGGTCATTGGGATCTACGTCCTGCCTTTGGTCCTTGAGTCTGACGTCATATCTTTGGTCCTTGGGTTCCACGTTGATATATGGGGTGTCACCGGCGACAAGTGTCTCGTCAAGGGAGGCCGACCTTCCGTCATTGGTGTGGACATACCTTTGGTCCTTGGACTTGACGTCATACGGATGCTCCTTGAGGTTGATATCGTGCCGAGGATCGATGGGTTTCGGGTCATTGGGATCTACGTCATGCCTTTGGTCCTTGGGGTCGACATCGTGCAGAAGATCAAAGGGTTTCGAGTCCTTGGGATGTAGGTCCTGCAGTTGGTCCTTGAGGTCGACATTGTGCAGAAGATCCAAGGGTTTCGGGTCCTTGGGATCTACATTATGCCTTTGCTCCTTGGGAACTAGGTCCTCCATTTGGTCCTTGAGGTCGACGTCGTGCCGAAGATCCATTGGTTTCGGGTCCTTTGGATCCACGTCATACTTTTGGTCATTGGGATCTAGGTCCTGCATTTGGTCCTTGGGGTCGACATCGTGTCGAAGATCCATTGGTTTGGGGTCCTTGGGTTTAACGTCATACCTCGGGTCCTTGGGATCTACGTCATACTTGTGGCCCTTTGGATTCAATTCATTCCGTTGGTCCTTCGTGTTGAGGACACCATCTGAAATTTATAGGGCCAAATGAAATATATCAGAGTGAGTGAGTTGTTTTTCGCCGTCGCGTCCACGATTATTGCTCTTATATAGCGACATGCTTGCACGTGTATGTGTGTGACTGCTTGTACTAGTCCGGACTGATGCCGATTTATAGTGCTAGCCCACTGAGATACCATGCCGCAGTTTAACATGAATACCCTACTCATACACAGTATACTGACTCCGAGCCGACCAGCCTTTGTTTTAGCCCCTTAATGTCGGGCGCCAGACAGGGTAACAAGTACCAGTCTTTTGGTATGGCGCGGCCGGGGATCGGAACCCCGGACCTTCCGCTCTCCAGGACGCGGTATTACGGAAATATCACGGCGGACACCAGAAATGGGCTTCAAACCTTGTACAAACCTTCGAACCTTGTCGGGTGGTCAGGTTCGCCGACTTGGTTGATGCATGTCATCGTATCCCTATTGCGTGGATCCATGCTCATGATGACATCACTGGATTGTCTGGTCCAGACTCGATTATTAAAAAAACACCGTCATACAGCTGGAATATTGCTGAGTACGGCGTTAAACAAACAAACAATATAAATTTACGGAGCCCTAGAATTAACGATTGGTGGTTTTCCCCTGTGCATGTGCACAGAGTTCTGCTCACAAATAACCGCAAGATGTCCGGAAGGTTATTTACTTGCTAAATGGGTTTGTGTCGACTTACCCGACTGTCCATTTTCGACTGGCATGCCGGACACGGCAACCTGAAGAATGAAGAGAATGAATGTTGTTCAACGCCACAGTATGCAGTTTACTATGGACTGTAAATAGTCTGGATCAGAAGCCAGTGAAATCAGTAGGATTTTTATTAATCCTAAGCACATTTTTGCAAAAGATTCAGCATGTACAGTAATTCGAGGTTTTTTTTGGTTAATCCTAAGACATTTGTTATCAAGCATTTTCGGGAAAATTTAAATCTAAAGAATACCAGTCCCAGTTATCAAATGGACGGCCCATTGCTGGAGGGGCGAGATGCGTTTAGCGTCGCGTTCAAAATGTTTGCACATATTTAGCGATGCTTGCGTGCATTTCCTCTAGTCCGTACTAATGCCGGTTTTATAGTGCTCATCCACTGAGACACCATCCCAAAGTTTAACATTGATACCCCACTCACATACATTCCGGCTGAGCCTACCAGTCCTTGCTTTTTCTCCTTGTTGGAATGACGCGGTCGGGAATCGAACCACCGACCTTTCGCTCTGCGGGAGTGAGTGAGTATGGTTTTACGCCGCTTTTAGCAATATTCCAGCAATATCTCGGCGGATATGGGCTTCACACATTGTACCCATGTCGGGAATCGAACCCGGGTCTTCGGCATGACGAGCGAACGCTTTAACCGTCAGGCTACCCGACCGCCCCGCGCTTTCCGGGAAGAAACTATCTACTAGACCACGGAGTCGGTCAAGCCCTTTCTAAGCACCTCCCCGGACACACAGTCTGTGGGTACAGGGATGTAGACAGTACCTGCATGAGTGAACAGTGACATCGGGTTATGTCACAGCCACCAACACAAAGCTCACCGTGTTCTGTATGACATTGTTTAACACCGCAGTCGGCAATGTTCCAGCTATATGACGGCGGTAAATAATCGAGTCTGGACCAGACAAGCCAGTGACTGACGTGAGCAACGATCTACGCAATTGGGATACGTTGACATGCACCAACCAAATCAGTGAGCCTGACCACCCGATCCCGTTAGTCGACCCTTACGACAGGCACCGTCGCTTCTTATGGCAAGCATAGTCGCTGAGCTCACCGTGTAGGCTGCAGTAAAACATTTAGTCCATAATGGTGTACCGAACCATCCATTAATTAATATAGTCACGTGAATACGCCCACTACTTTCTTTCATAGCTCCTGAAGTGTCGATAAAACACTCCACGCGAAAATTCGTTTTATTATCAAACAATGAGCCTACAAAGCGGAAATTCGTGGATGGTATTTCGGTTTGATCCTGCAATTATCATGAACTTCAAACATACTGGACAGATAGGTTTTGTGCATTTGCACCAGGACAAGTTTAAGTTCTGTATTTCTGGTTTGAAAATGACTGCTCGGCATTTCATGGCTAAATGTCACTGGTCACCGATTTGTTTTTTATAACCGTATCTCTGGCAGTTTCAATTTACGAAAAGTGACAGATCGTAATATTTACGATTTGGTTGGTTGGTTTGATGTTTAACGCCGCACTCAGCAAATTTCCAGCTATATGACGGCGGTCTGTAAATAATCGAGTCTGGACCAGACAATCCAGTGATTGATATCATGAGCATCGATCCACGCAATTGGGATCGATGACATGCATCAACCAAGTCAGCGAGCCTGACCACCCGATCCCGTTAGTCGCCTTTTACGACAAGCATAGTCACCTTTTACGGCAAGCATGGGTTGCTGAAGACCTATTCTACCCCGGATCTTCACGGGTCTAATATTTACGAGGACGCTTATCATGGGCCTAAATAAAATGCAATATTAACTTTAAACATTACTGGGTAAACAATTGTTGTCTCCTCAGAAAATGTATGTCTCGAAACAACGACCCACGAGCATTATCACACTTAACACCCTCACCTCAGACTAGTAAAATATCTTTATCTGAGCCTTCCTATTCTACAATAGTTCTCATTGGTGCAGACACGGGGGAACATGTTATTATTTGCCAATTGTCTGCTCCGTAACGAAATGCCCAATTCATTCATAAGCGTACTTACGCCATAATCAGCCATATTCAAGCGATACACAGGTCGGAGGCAAACACTTCACCTATCGTACCAGTCGTCACTGAGTATATTTCAAGTGGTTACCTACAATCGGCGTTTGTCCAAGCATTTTGGGGATTAATATACTCTTTCGCCATCCCCCTCTCCAAAAAAGGAAAAAACGGAACGGATATGTGATTTTGAAGAGATTCATTCTGTGACTTCTACAAGCCTGTAAAAAGCGATACGTTGAACTAGTGTTTGACAGTGAAAACGTTCAAACATTAATGCAGCCGGTTACGTCACTATCTCAAGCAAAGGCCAGTACCGTTTGTTTCCACCACTGGTCGGGACTGGACACTTCTTGTTCATTGACCCGTGAAGACTACGGGTGACCTTGTAGAATGGTAACCGATTCTTTCCAATGATCTTGGCGTAATTGCTGCAGATTGTGTGGCCGTCTGATGGTTGACGTCATCTTCCCGAAGCAAGGGAATTGGCCGACTAAAGTCCAGTTAACGCCCGTGCCTCGGGAAAATGCTTAATACTATTACAATAGGATATCCCGGGGCAGTCGGGTAGCCTAGTGGTTAAAGCTTTCGCTCGTCACGCCGAAGACTCGGGTTCTATTCCCGACATTGGTACAATGTGTGTAGCCCATTTCTGGTGTCCCCCGCCTTGATGTTGCTGGAATACTGCTAAAAGCGTTAACCATACTCACTCTCTCACTCACTGGGATATCACACTGATGCTCAATTGTATTTAGATCCGGTGACCATGACAATATGTATGTTTTTTGTATGTTTTTAACTCGGGAAAACGGTACTTTGGTTTGTTGTTTTACGCCGCACTCAGCAATATTCCAGTTATATGACGGCGGTCTGTAAATAATCGTGTCTGGACCAGACAATGCAGTGATTGATATCATGAGCATCGATCCCGCCGCCAGGTTCTAGAAAACTAGCGTGTTGTGCTCTGCTGCCACCGACCTCGGCACACAATTGTGCACGCCCTACTTACATAAAAACTCGTCGAAACGCTGACTGAAAAATAACATATGCAAAACCTGAAGTGCTCTTAGTAAGAACTTATTTCAACTGAGTTGGGTATTTGTAATATGAAATGAAAGCGCTCACCAATCCGAAAATGGCAGCAAGGTAGATAAACCACGGAGCCATCCTGAAAAGATAAGTTTTAACATTTTCAGTAAACTAACAGTAAATAAACGTAACGAAACTACAATAAACAGGTCTATAATCCATTTACGAAATGACATCAGGAAATAAAAATATTGTAGATCAATTTAAAATAGCTGTCCGGTTGATGGACAAAGATGTGCGACCACTCACCTGCCACCTGCAACTGCACTGAGCGCTGTCTGTCACGTCACGTGCTTTTGGGCGCATTATATTCACGTGCATCACGTGGATACTTGAGGGCGAGCATTAAAGGTGTAAGATCACATTTAAAATTAATTAATGTTTTTTTGTTGTCCATTTGATATGGGAAAATATTTTTTCCATCCTGTGCAAAGTTGTAAGTTAGAGATTATACTTTAACACGAAAATCATTCGTAGAAATAGTTCGGGAATATTCGGTTTTAGGCCGATTTCAACGAGATTCAAGATACATCACATTGTGTCAGTTTAATGAGAAAGGAGTGGATCCCCAAGTGGCGCAGGTGTACGTGTACCAGTTCAGTGAAATGCAACATCATATGGTGTTGATAAACCGCTAATCAGGGATTCGAAACACGACCAGCGAATCTAGGCAGCTAAGGAATGTGGCGAACTGAAGCACCTCGGACAACTCAAGCATCTGCCAGCCGTGGTTGCGAAATAAACCCGTCTCCACAGTTCCAGAACGGTTAAGTGTTTAACCTTTACCATTTTTGAGAACCAACGAACACGTTTACAGTGCTGACAAACCAAATGACATAATCAGCACGAACAGATTCCAACACGCCCAAGGGACGCAACTCCGTACAGCGAATTGCGTCACCTAAGACGACTTGGCCACTCGTGCAGATGGGAAACTAAGTCAAAGAGGTGGCAAATACATGTTGATGTAGCCAGCAGTAACTGAATCTACCCATTATATCTCGCATATAGAACACAGGCTGTTTGTTTGTTTGTTTGTTGTATAACGCATCACTCAGCAATCTTCCAGCTATATGACGGCGGTCTGTAAATATTCGAGTCTAGACCAGACAATCCAGTGGCTGACATCATGAGCATCGATCCACGCAATTGGGATCGATGACATGCATCAACCAAATCAACGAGCCTGACCACCCGATCCCGTTAGTCGCCTTTTACAATAAGCATAGCTTGTTTCAGGGGCTAGAACACAGAACTTAACTTTTGTAGGTGAAAGACATTGATACATTGTTGCTTGACAATTTGAAAAAGACCTTGCAAACATGCTTTCAGTTTTGATTGGGTATTACGTTTTACGTTTTACTCGAGTAGTATCAATGTTTATTCAAGTTTGGTTTAAATCATATTACGTCTTTATGGGGGGCACGGGTGGCCCAGTCGTCTAAGGCGCCGCGATTCGCTGTGCAGAGTTGCGTCCCTTGGGCACGCCAGAAACCTACGATTGTGGTTTCGAATCCAGGTTCGCCCTGATTATGTTTCTAGGTTTGTCAGCACCATACCCGTGCTCGTGGGTTTCACCGAAGTGGTAAACGTCTGAGACCTGCATCACTTCGGGCTTTCCTCCCACATTAAGCTGACACGCCGCGATATAACTGGAATACTGTTAAAAGCGGCGTTAAACACAACTCACTCACTCACTCACTTTATGGCAGGTACTATTGAGGTGCGGTGAAATGGGGTTTAACGTCTCGTTCAAGATTATTGCAGTTATATAGCGTGTGTGTGTATTTGTTTTGTTTTGTGTATGTGCGTGCGTGCGTGCGTTTTTTTTTGTTTTTTTGGTGTGTGTGTGTGTGTGTGTGTGTGTGTGTGTGTGTGTGTGTGTGTGTGTGTGTGTGTGTGTGTGTGTGTGTGTACTAGTCCGCACTATAGTCCTCGTCCTTGAAATAAAATCACGAAATATCGCGATGATACTTATAAAGTGAAAACAAGCCATTCCGCCGATAACGAATACTACTACTCTGTCTCACAGTCCCTGAACCATATTATTTTCTCATCGGCCCATCCCTTACTGTACTGCAAAAGCCCTCAATGAAGCAAGTCTAGATTTTGTCAGGTTCTGAGTACCCCATCCCATTGGGGCGCCTTTTCAAATTAAATACAGCTGTTTGTTTCTATCAAAATTATATATTTCCAAAGACTAATTATAAGCGTTATCTATCCTAGTGCTAGCCCGCTGAGATACCATGCCGCAGTTTAACGTTTATGCCCTACTCTGACACATTATACTGACGCCGAGCCAACCAGTCCTTGTTTTATCCCATTAATACCGAGCGCATTTGAACGTCTTTGGGCAGGGTATGAAACTCCCAAAAATTTCAGCCAGACCACAGGACTGGCTAGCTGAAATACTTGCCAGCCCTGACCAAAACCTGCCTGCCCACTATAATCATATGTTTCTCAGGATAAGCTAACGGGGTTTCTTTTTGGTTACATTTTATCATTCATCTTTACATGTGAATTAATGCTTATCATCGGGAAATATTTTGAATATTTTCACATATGAAATATAACTCGACCGTCGGGCAGGGGGATTTGAAAATCTGGCAGCCCGAGTTGAAATCAACCCGTCTCGGACGGTCGAACACGCCTTTGGGTATGACACGTACGGCCGGGGATGGAACCACCAACCTTTTGCCATCCAGACAGACTCCCTATCACCCAAACCACGGACGTGGTCCGTAACTATTGAAGTTAATACGAAAACACTGACTTGATCCAAACTGTAATTGTCAAAAAAAAAATTCAAAAATATGTCAGTCTATATCTTCTTGTCTTCCTCTATGATGAAGTTCGAGAAGCATACACAAACAATATCCCACTAGCAAAGTGTCTGACAAACAGGTGGTACCCTTGTGTTTTAAAGCGATAACACGTCCCTCGAAACCAGGTTCAATTCCCAACATAGCTGCAGTGTCCGAATGCCATTGTTGGTGTTCTAAAAAAGATATGTGCTGACACTTACTTCTCTGCACTGGCTGGGAGAATCACCGCAACCCTATGCTGTTTACAGGTGTGTGATCGGTCTACCATAGATGTACTTGTTTTCGGGACCGAGTTCTTTGGTGCAAATGCATTATGTATTGACTGCGCCGCACACCACGCTGAAACATGACATAGCAAGAAGTAATATTTAATGTTAAAATACGCCGAAACCGTGGTCCCGTCATGTAATCAGACAATAATAAGACAAACAGATAGACAGACAGACAGACAGACAAGTGTATTCCGAATGTACAGCTTCGAGTACATTAAGAGATAGTCCCTTGGGGATTCTTGGTTAGAATACGTTCCCAGCAACTCCTGCTTGTCGTAAGAGGCAAATTACTGGATCGGATGGTCAGGCTCGGTGACTTGGTTGCAATCGATGGCGGGTCAACGTGACCCGACTGCGTGGATCGTTGCTCACAATATCGACCACTGTCTGTCTGGTCTAGATACGGTAATACCAGTATACAGGCCACCGTCATATTGAATATTGCCGAGTGCGCTGTTGAACAACAAACAAACGAACGAAAGAAAGACGTTCGAACAAACATTAAAAAATAAAATCCCCTGTGTCAAAGTCAAAGATATTTTTTGTATTCAAGACCTCCAGTCCATATACAAAGGAGTTACATATAAGTAGTTTTACATATTAGGATATATACTAATGTTTAACCATTCGTTTCTGAGAGAAATTGCATTTTTAACAATTATAGCCAGTTTTAATATGACAGCATCATCTTTTGAAAAGAGAAGAGAAATAAAAGCAGGTGCAGGATAATTTGACAGATAGCTTCTTGTATAAACGTGTTTCTTAGATAATGACATGGAAAAGCAAAATGAATTTCATTTAAGAATTGAACGTCAGTTTGGATGGGTTCAGGTGTGTGAACTCCAAATATCAGATCACGTGACTACCCCTGTAGCCAATCAGCAAGACAGAAACAGTGTAAACTTCAAAGTATGAAATTATTTTCTATTGCTGAATGTACTCGTGCTTCAACACGTATACAGGTACATGACTGTTTGAGAAGATAGCAATAACAAGTCCGTTCAAGTTGAATGAAATGTAAAATTAAAAATAATAGATGAGTTTATATATGGGTGGGATTATGCCGTTGTTCATGTTCATGTCATACCTACCAGACATGGTCATCAGGTTCCAGTTGGATGACAATTTGAAAGAACTTCACAATGGTCATCATCTGGCTTGGAGCTACTGATGAACATGTATGTACCTTTGAGACCAAATAGTTCGTTGACGTACATGTTACATTTGAAGACATGAGAACTCTTTGTTTTTAACATGCGAGAAAAGGTGTATTTCATGTACAAATAGGGCACGGGTGGCCCAGTCGTCTGAGGCGCCGTAATTCGCTGTGCAGAGTTGCGTCTCTTGGATATGGCCTCAAGGAACCTATGATTGTGGGTTCGAATCCCGGTTCACCCCGGTTATGTTTCTAGGTTTGTCAGCACCCTACCCAGCTCATTTTTTACCAGAGTAATAAATGTCTGAGATTTGCATCACTTCGGACTTTCCTCTCACATCAAGCAGATACGCCGTGACACAACTTGAATATTGTTCAAAGCGGCGTTAACCCCAACTCACTCACTCACTCCTGTACAAATGCCATACGCGCGCATCCATCTTATCGAGAAACGTTATGCGAGCCTCTCAGCTGATTCGAAACTGACAGAAGCGCCGCAAAATGCCTCTTTTTCCCGCCATCGCATCACGTTTCAGCAATTACTGCATTCGTCACCACTCGCCCCTTTCCGTAACCTGCAAGAAGACTCGTCCCCCTCTCGATGAAAGTTATGTGCGAAAATACGACAAACCAATCAGAATGCGCGTATGATTTCGAGTTCTTTGTCAAATAATCCCTCAGAAATAATTTTTTATTTTTATTTTACATATGTCTTGCATCTAAAAATATACCCAAGACACAGTTAAAGGTGTTCAATCATACTGTATAAATCCGCACGTCCCGATGTCCTTTAAATTGCATCAGAAATATATATAACATATGGGGAAATATATGTGAACCATTACGCAACGAGTTGACAATTGTTTTAGGTATGCCCGTTTGCGCTAAGACGGAACCTAGTCGCAAAAATTGCCATGAGAGGGGCACGAGTCGCTATTCGACTTGTCCCGGAATAACACGAGTTGGTCACGAATGCAATTACTGCTGTGTAACGCACAGGGTATACCATAAAAATAAATATGTTCATATGAAATGTGTAATAAACAGTGTTGAACATATATAATTAAAA